AGTAAGTTGCTGGAGATAGGAGGATGGGGGTTCAAAGTCATCCTCAGCTACATAGAGGATTCAAAGCCAGCCTCAGCTGCATGAACCTCTCTCTCAAAACAAACAGACAAATAAATTATGATTAGCTCTGCTATAAAATCATGGTTATGTTCCTAAGGAACCTCACAACATTAAGAAACATTAAAAATATCTATTCAACATGGAAAGGACAGCTGAGGCTGTAGACAAAACTGGGTAATTTTTCCTGTAGGAGCTCAGCAATCAAGAGTTGGATTTTGCTATGTATAATAAATGGCTTGACCCCAGACCAACGAGAGAATCAAAAGAAAAACCTAGACAGCCGGAAAAAGTAGCCTGCAGTCAGTTCACAGCCACAAACAGCAAAGCAAAGCCTCCTTGCCAGCCAGTGTCTGGCCTCTGGCTGCCTTCCACACCCTCCTCGGTATGCCCAGGTCATAAGAAGCACTTCCTTCCTTCAGGCCCAGGCTCCCTCTGGGTGTCCCTTCAAGCCCTATGGGTGCAGAAAACCCTCACTCAGTCAGCTCATAATCGCCAGTGCTCGCTATACGAATTTCTGAAATGCTAATTAGTCATTTGTTTAAGGTCTCTTGCAGCAGATAAGATCACGAAAACAGTGTTCTGTTAAAAGTGGACTACTTGTGATGTAATAGCCCCATGGCACATCCTGCTATTTGTTTTAAATGGCATCTTGCCATCTTATCCCAGGCTGCCTTTGAGCCCAGCCAGCATGCCTATTAATATCAGAAATAACTTCCCCAGCAAGTACTCCCCCCACCCTTAAGGAGAAAGACAGGAAGGAAAACTGCTCCCTAGTCACAACCATAGCTTTCTCATTTGCACCATGGGCTGCCAAATGTGCCAGTTCAGCCAAGATTGTAATGAGGAATCTAGTAATGAGCTCTAAGAAACGTTGCCAGAGGCCTTTGCCTCCTAGTGGGTGTGGGTGTGGGCGTGAGATAACAGTGCTGGCTGTACTGATGGCCTGACCTCATGCTGTTCTCTCCCAGAATGGCCTCAAACTGTGTCCCATGCACAGTAGCAGGACTGGAGGAACAGTCTATTTCTGCATTGTTCGCTCATTGTCAAAGGCATGTTACCATGACTACATGAACACTCAGCTTTTCCGTGCAAGTGGACAGCTGACAGGTAACACTTGTCAGTCAGTGATGACCCATATAGTCACTTTAACAGGTGCCAAGGAAAACAGGTGCAAACTGTTGATTTGCTTTCAAGGAACACACCTTTAAAAGGTACTTTCCAAGGAGATGATTAGGCAAGCATCCGTGTGATTTGCAAGGAAGGTTAAGGTCTCCAGTGATTGCAGCACCATCGATACAACCCACGAGAATCAAAACACTGTAGAGCTGAGAAACGTCAATATGAGGGTCCAGAGAGGCCATCAAAATGTAAGGGTCCTCCAAGAAACTGGACAAAGCAAACCTCAATGTCTATGGTTGAAAACTGGGCATTTGTGGAGCCGGAGAGAGGCTCAGCAGTTAACAGTGGTCTCTGCCCAACCCTGAGGGTTGCAGTACAGATCCCAGCACCATGAGGCAGCTCACAGAAAACCAGACATTTTGCTGTTAAATTGTTCCAGAAGTCCCCTTTAAAATCTCAGCCAGGGTGATGGTTCACGCCTTTAATCCCAGCATTCAAGCAGCAGAGACACCAGGTACAGAGTGAGTTCCAGGCCTGCCGAGCTACACAGTGAATCCCTGTCAGAAAAAACAAAACAAACAGAACAAAAAAAGAAAGCTCCACCTTCTGATGACAAGGTGGGCACCCAGGAAGTCTGCTTTTCAGCCTGCCACTCCACGCTGACTGTGCCGAGGCAGCTCTGTGCTGTGGGCAGGACTTCTCTTGGAGTCTTCAGTGGTGGCTGGTGGAGAGGACAGAAGGGAATTACATCTTGTCCTGTCCATCACAAGCACTAGCTCTGAGATAGTTTCCCTAGTCACATCCCACTGTGTGTACTTTCAAAGAGCTAGAGAGTATTTCCAGCCAAGGTTGGTCCCACGTCTTCTCCTCTGGACAGTGGTCAGAAATGACATGCGCTCCTGCAATCCGTGGCCCATCAAAGATATCTTGCCCACTTCTCCATGATCCTTCTTGTTTTGATTTCATGAATAATGACAAGACCTGGGAGCCACATGATGGAAGGAATCTGGGTTCCCAAGGGGCTGCTTGGAGGAAAGCCCCCTTGCTGATCTGATCACCTGCTTAGGAGGTTTACACAGTCAAGAAATACATTTCTATTCTTTTCTTTTTTAAAAAATAAAAGTAAAAAAGTGGGGTGGGGTGGGGTGCACCACAGGGATGACTCAGTGGTTAAGGACACTTGTTGCTCCTCAGGGGGCCAGAGGTCTGTTCCCAGCACCCATATCAGGAGGCTCACAACTGCCTGTAACTCCGGCTCCAGGGGAACCGACACCATCTTCTGGCCTCTTTGGATACTTTCATATACATGACATTGATTCTAGCATGCATGTGTGTATGCACACGCACACACACACACACACACACACACACACACACACACACACACACACCAAAGTAAATCAATAAAAATTAAGTGTGATATTTAAACTCTATTCCCAGGAAACTGACTATCTTAGATACTGTTCCATTGCTGTGAAGAAACAACATCATCAGGGCAGCTTATAGAAGGAAGCATTTCATTGGGAGCTTGGTCACAGTTTCAGAGGCTGAGTCCATGATCATCACGGCAGGGAACCAGGGAACATGGTGATGGGCAGGCAGTCATGGCACAGGAGCAGTAGCTGAGAACTCACATCTGATCCACTAATTGCAGGCAGAGTCAGCGGGAGACTGGGCCTGCCTGGCATGGGCTTCTGAAGCCTTAAAACCCAGCCCGAGTGACACACCTCCTCCAACAAGACCATCTCCTAATCCTCTCCAACAGTTCCACTGACTGGGGACCAAGCATTCATTCAAACATATGAGCCTATGGGGGCCATTCTCATTCAAACCACCTAGTTATCAAGGAGCAATCAAATATGTCATTGTAAAAAAGCGTGCAGTTGAGAGCCCAGAAATCTACTAACAGGTCTGGGGAGACAGTTTGGCTGGCACAGTACAGTCATGAGGACCTGATTATAACCCCCAGAACCTACTCAAAGATGCTCGGCATGAGTATACACTTGTAATCCCAGTACTGGAAGGTGGAGACAGGAGGATTGCTGAGGCTCACTGGAGCTTAAATCTAGCCTAAACAGTGAGCTTCAGGCCAATGAGAGATCCATCTCAAAGGACTTGGAGAGTATTTCTAAGGACCTTATCCAAGACTGTCTATTGGCCCCCACATACATGTGCACACAGGTGTATACATACTCATTCACATACATGAATACACACATACAATTTGTTAAAAAATCCACTAGCAGATTTCTCTGAACATACATTCTACTAAAAGACAAAACTGTGGGAACAGTAAAAAGAAACGGTTGCTAGAGGCTGAGGGTGAAGGAGAGGACAGGAAGGGCGAATGGGCAGAGGAAAGATTTCCAGGATGATCAAGCTCCTCTGGGTGACCTGGCTGTGGTCTGATGTGAACTACCTCCTACAGGCCCCTTGTCTAAATGCCTGATGCTCTGCTGGTCGAAAGCGCTGTTCTGGATGGTTGTAGGTACTCAGGGTGAGACCTGGCTGGGAGAAACAGTTACCAGGGGAGTCACTGGTCTCTGAAGGTCATCCCTGCTCTCGCTCTCCTCTCTCCACCCAGCCCCTCATTCCCTGTGAAGAACAGCCTTCACCACAGTGCCGTTTTCCATGAGAATCTAATCAAGTTCATGGGCCCAAGCAACCATGGACAGAAACACCTCAAATCATGAGCCACAATCAACTCTTCCCCTCTTAAGTTCTTTTTGATCAATATTTGGTCACAGTAAAGAGAAAGTTAGCTAACGTAATAACACAGTGGTTGAAATAAACCACTTTACGTGTATCCCAGTCCACAGGCTGTACCACACCTAGTGAACACACTTGTGACCTATGCACTCTGCTGACTGTAAAAAGCATGCCACTGTGGTGGGGAGCGCTGTACATGTGTGAGGGAGCATGTATATGGGAACTCTCTGTGCTTCCAATTGTGTTACGAACGTAAAGTGCTCTAAAAATGAAGTGCTTTTATTTTCATTTTTTAAATTCATAAAATAAAGATAACAGATTAATAACAGTCTTGTAAAAAGCCATTGGGCTGTTAGGAAAGTTCATCTCTTTTATTTAAAACAGGCCTTTCCACGATGGGAATGTTCTTCATGAGTCACCCAATGTGGTGGTCACTAGCCCACGTCCTCCTACAGCACTTGAAGTACGGCCACTGTGACTAAAGCCTTGGAGCTGAGATTTCAATGGCCTTATATAACTGGTAGGTACCATACTGGATAGACTTCCCCAGAACCTCACGGTTCTCCAGCTCAGCATGGAAACTGAATGACCCAAATTCTATTTCTGAGACCTGGCATACAGCATATCATCTACATTTCCAGTCTCTAAAATTCAGGAAAGAGGCAACACTTGGTACTTCAGCATCCTCTGGCCCAAACAGCAAGTCTCCAGTGAACCCCAGTGGAAGTGTACCGACATGCACAAGACTAGAAATCTCCCTGTGCAGACTGATACGAGTAAAATGGAATAACCATGCTTATGGCTGTTTAGTATGTGTGCATTTCAGAGAAATTTTCTTTAAATGCTGCCCAAATCACTTCTGTGTTTAGTGGCAACACGGTGTATGAAGACACTCCTGGCATGGAGCCACGTGGAAGTTGGCATCACTTTAACTCCAGTGAGTGGTGTGGCATGTAGTGATAACACCATGCTTGGCAATGTCCTGTGCTGACAACATGTGCAATGCAGAATGCTTATTGTCTTATCAGGGGAGATATTCTCAAAACAAAAATTTAAAAAGCTAAAAAAAATTAATATAGCATTAAAGTGAAGCAATAACTCTTCTATTTTTAAAAACTATGGAATGCTTCATTAATTTACATGGCTTGCACAGGGGTCATGCTAATCTTCTCTTTATCGTTGCAATTTTAGTATATGTGCTGCAAAAGCGAGCACTAAGTTTTCTATTTTAAACGTTTTGAGGTGCTGGTGAAACAGCGAAGCGGGCTGAGGAATCTGCTTCCAGCCTGGTGGCCCGAGTTCAGTGCCTGCAACCCACACACCGAAAGGCGAGACCTGCCTTCCCCAGGTCGTCTATCGGACCTCCTACACACATACAGTGTGCACACCACAAGGAAAGAGAAATGTATTACAATAAAACTCTTTTGAAAAGTCACTGACTGAAATACACACACATCATTATTTATGATAATTTGAAAATTAGATTGCAGGTTTTTCTTAAGAAGTCAAAATGTGGTGACATATAAATGTGAAAACTCTGGGCTGGAAAGATGCCTCAGCAGTTAAGAGCACTGGCTGCTCTTCCAGAGGACCCGAGTTTACAAAACCCACACTGGGTGGCTTACAACTGTCTAAACTTCAGTCACAAGGGATCCAATCCTCTTCTGGCCTCTGTGAGCATCAGGTACTCACATGGTGCATAGATGTACAACATCCATATACAGAAAATAAAAATAAACCTTAAAAAAAAGGAGGAGGATTGAAGGTCAGCAGGGATACTTGAGACTCTGTCTCAAAAAACCAACCAAACAAAAACAAACACAGACCCCAGTCAATCCATGGGGGCTCTGGAGGGGATTGAGGTGTGATGTTGGGGACAAGGAGGCAGGGAAGAGGATTGGACAGGAGCAGAGACCACTCACTGTGACGGCTGGAGGCAGAAGGGGCCAGGTAGCAGGGAAGGAGGAAGTTGTTTCATTTTTCTCGATAAAATGAGAAGGAAGCAGGCAGAACCCTAGGAAACTCACAGCAGGGCTTCCTCTGGAGCTGACAGCAGCCAGCCTCAGACTGGACACGAGGAGGCGCCAGAGCGCAGCGGGCAGCCCTCATCCTGAGACCTGGCCGGGTCACAGCAATGTAGCAGCCAGGAGGGAGCAAAAGAGGTCACATCCTCAGAGATCAGCAGCAGGAAGAGAAATGCCTGAAAAGCAGTGCCGCCTGCCCATTCAATTTCAGCTTTTCTAGAGACCCCTTCCTCCTCGGTGAGAAAATGCTAATTCCTCAGAAGGAAAAGTAAACCAAGAAAAACCTCACCCCTCTCCCCTCCCTTTGGTTTGTGGCTTCTTGTGTTTCATTAAATTTGCATTGAAAAACAATGTTTTTGTTGTTTTTTATTTTTTTGTTTGGTTGGTGGTTTTTTGTTTTTTTGGTTTTTTTGTTTTTGTTTTTGTTTTTGTTTTGAGACAGGGTTGAACTATGTATACCTGGCTGGCCTCAGACTTACAGAGACCCACTTGCCTCTGCCTCCCAAGGGCTGGGATTAAAGGCATGTGCCACCACGCCCGGCCTAAATTCTGATTCCTTTTTTTTTTTTTTTTTTTGGTTTTTCGAGACAGCGTTTCTCTGTGTAGCTTTGCGCCTGTCCTGGAACTCGCTTGGTAGCCCAGGCTGGCCTCGAACTCACAGAGATCCGCCTGGCTCTGCCTCCCGAGTGCTGGGATTAAAGGCGTGCGCCACCACCGCCCGGCTCTGATTCCTTTTAAATCAACACAACACCTGTGCAAACACTTTACACAGAGTCTTACTACCTTCAGCTACACAACATTCCCAGACCCTCATCTCATACCCTCTGCCTTCTGTGGTTTTGCAGGTATAACCTTAGGGTTTAAACAATCCTTGCAGTTCCTGGCATCTGAGGTCAAGAAGGATTCACCTAACGCTTATTATACTCCACCAGAGGCAGACTGATACCAAAGATGGGCACTGTGGCTAAGCGAAGCTAGGGCTGGAAATAACAGATCACCTACGACATCGACGAATTCTTCTATAATCAGAATACGCTGACTTGAAAATAAGTGTGCACAGACTTGAAATGGGAAGAAAACAATGGAGTGCCTGTAGGGGAGGAGTGGTGGGAAGGGAGAGACACATAGGTCGATCCAGTCGGCAAAAATAAGCAAGAACAAGGGCAATCAACACGAAGGGCAAGCCACAGCACGCAGGCGCACCGCGGTGCTCTGCAGCCCGGCTCAGAGGGAAGCTTGTCTGCACCCACCCCCACCCTACCCCCCAACCCCCCACCCCTGCACAAAAAGCTATGCCTCCTGATCTGTAAATACTGACAAGGGGTCTTCTTTTGGAAGAGAGGGAAGATTACATGAGACAATACATCGCCCTTGGCTATATAACAAGTTCAAAGTCAGGCTTGGCTACACGAATGTAGATTAAACTTTAATCTACATTCCCAGGGCAGAAGGACGCCTCCATGGTCATGCACACTTGTTGCTCCAGCAGAGGACCCAGGTTCAGTTCCCAGCACCCACACAGTGGTTCGTAACCATCTGTGACTCCAGTTCCAGGAGATCCAACGCCCACTTACACTTGCCCATGTTTGTATTTTCTCCTCTTGCTACAGAAAACTGGCCTTTTAATCACAGAACTCACTTGATAGGCTAAGAAAATGCACCCATTTACTTTCTTGTTTTTTTTTTCCTTTTTTTAAATATTTTTTAAGATTTATTTATTTATTATGTATACAGAAGAGGGCACCAGATCTCATTACAGATGGTTATGAGCCACCATGTGGTTGCTGGGAATTGAACTCAGGACCTCTGGAAGAGCAGTCGGTGCTCTTAACCTCTGAGCCATATCTCCAGCCCGGGTTTTTTTTTTTTTTTTTTTTTTTTTTTTTAAACACTTACTTATTCTGTGTGTGAGGTCAGAGGATAATGTTGTGAAGTTAATTTTCTTCTCCTATGTGGGTTCTGGGGATTGAATTCCAATCGTGAGGCTTGGTGGCAAACTCCTTTGCCTGCCTGAGCCATCTCCTGGTCCTCAATTTACTTTCCTAATACCAGACAGATTTGTCCACATATGTTAAAGCTCTTTCCTTAGAAAATAAAAATGTTAGAGCGATCTATACATACCATTAAAAGGCAAAGAAAGGAGAAAAGATGAGACATGCATTGTCTCACTTAATCCTCATAGCAACTATATAGCTATCAGAAATGCTCATTCTACAGAGGAGAAAAGTGTGGGTGAGAGTTACATGGGTCACAGGCAGAGAGAGGCAACAGAATTTAATACAAGTCTTCAGCTCCCAGACATATCCATTTCTCTGTTATGCTGTTGCTGGTGAGACATCAGGTCAGCATCAGCACCCTAAGGTGTCAGATATCAACTCAGCATCAGTACCCTTAATGTCAGAGATACCAGCCCAGCATCAGCACCCTAAGGTGTCAGATATCAACTCAGCATCAGTACCCTTAGTGTCAGAGATATCTGCTCAGCATCAGTACCCTAAGGTGTCAGATATCAACTCAGCATCAGTACCCTCAGTGTCAGAGAAGATTGCAAGAGGAATCTGCAGCAGCTGAGTTTTTGTCCAGTTTGTGACAAGAAGCCTTTCTAGAGGTGCTGTGGTTAGTTTTCGTCAACTTGACACAAGCTAGGATCATTTGAGAAAAGGGAAATTCAATGAGAAAATGCCTCCATCAGATAGACAAACCTATAGGCAAACCTGTGGGGCATTTTCTTGATAAATGCTTGATATGGGGTTTCTTATTAGTAGTTGATGTGGGAGGGCCCAGACCACTATGTGTATTGCCCTCCCTTGGCAAGTGGCCCTGGAAGGACTTATAAAAGACTTCTGAAGGAAGCAGGCCAAGTGAGCATGAGAAGCAAGCCAGTACAGCAGTCCTCCATGGCCTCTGCTTCAGCTCCTGCCCTGACTCCCCTCAGGTTCACTGTGACCTAGAAGTTGTAAGATGGAATAAACCCTTTCCTCTACAGGCTAGTTTTAGTCATGGTGTTTATCACAGCAACAGGGAAGTTACCTAGGACAGAGAGCATGAGATTTCTATGTGGTGAGGACAGGCCTGCACTCTCCGATTCCCCTGTCCTGTGAACTACTGAGATCACAGGAGGAAGATGCTCTGAAGACCTGTGTCCCAAAACTGTCACAGAGACTATGGCCTGGGGCATTTTCTAAGCTGTGATCTCTGTGTCTTTAATTAGAGAGGAATAAGCCCTTTCTTGCCCCTCTTCCTGCTTTCTGTCTGGCTCAGGCTCAGGAAGGGTCTATTTAAAGTGTCTGTGCAAATGAACTGGTGCTGCCGGCCACTGCTGAAGTAAAAACAGAGGTGTGTGATGTCTTATTAGGTCATTGGAACTGCCAAGTTGGATGTCCAGATTCAAAGTATAAGATGATCTGAAATGCAGGGCATCTGCAGACAAGGATTTGATGATGGGCCCATGTGTCTGCTGGTATAGCACTCCAAAAGCACAAGTTGGACAGAGCATCTATGTGCACTACTGCCCACCTTCACCCCACCCCCCAAACACGTTTGTAATGGCAGTGACGACAGTTTAAGACTTACAGAGTCACTGTAGATGACGCAGGCGAATGCCCTCATTCACATGCACACAGAAATAATTACGTAGCTCCTGAAGGTCTTGCAGCTAACTGAAGTGACACTGAGCTCAGAACACCTATCTGCTAATTGCTGCCTCCCTTAATGCCAGCATCGCTCCACCACAGTATCAGTTCCCTTAGCTACTCGGGGTCTAGGGTAGCCTGTTATTAAATAAAACATTTTTGACAAAAGTGCAGTACAAAGATAGGCAAAAAAAAAAAATCCTTTCACCATAAGATTACTTCATTGCTATGTCATTAACTCTAATTTTTGCTGTTATAAATCGTAATGTAAATATCTGATATGCAACTCCCAAGGGGTCGTGACCCCCAGGTTGAGAACTGCTTCTGTATACTATGGTTCGTAGTCATTTCACGGAAGTGCGTAGGTTTCCTACCTTTGTACAAACGGGGACAACCAGACCCTTTCTCTTCAGCTACACTGTTTAGTTCTGCAGTAATTTTTAAAAGTTGTCGTTTTAATCACTGATAAATACAATTTTGGAAAGAGAAGACCGCCCCCGGCACTTCTCACCTCCTCTTATGAGAAGTTGCTTTTGCAACTCCCCCTCTGCGCATGCCA